TAATGTCGATTTCCTCGAGCGGGTGCCAGTAACCTCTCCATTTGTCCCTGTTGCGTGCTAGTGTAGCCCAATGGCGTCTGTTCGCTCTAGGAACACGAAGAGCCTCAAACCGATCATTCATGATCTTGATGAAGAAGTCTGACCATCTGGTAGGTGGGCGGCCACGCGGTCTTTTGACATCCCGTGGAATCCAGTCGGTAACAGCTCTAGTCCAGCGGTCGTCTTTAAATCTCATTACGTGACCAGCCCATCTTATTTTTGATCTGACTCTCAGTTTCATGCCCCTACACGTCACCAGTCAGATGTGGACGAGGGTGGGGTGGGTTTTGATAGGTCTGGTGAGTGGGTATCACAGCCCATTGCTGCTCCACCCTCAGAAATGGAAGACCTTGCCCCAGGTTGCTTCCTGTTCTGAGAGGTTAAGAGCTCCTTTCCTGAGGAGAGGGTGTTGCCCAAGACTGTCAAAATCTAACCCACTTAGTTCTTGCCACCAACACAGGTTTGTCAGAGAAGACTCTTTGGTCTGAAGCACGGGTCTTTGGCTCACCCTGTCTTCTCAGGACAAAGCTCCATGCCTTCTCAGTCTCTGCTGCTCCATCTCTCGCCTCCTTAGCTTTCAGTCAGCTGCTGCTCCTTGTTCCATAGCAGAGAATCTTCTAGAGATGGTGCTTGGGTTCTCCAGTGAATTTCTCAATAGGGAGCTGCATCTGATTCGGCTTTGATACATTCTTCATTGGGATGCTGCAGAAGTGCCTCCAATTGCTCCTCTTTTGGACCATCTTGGCCTTGCTTCTCTTTTAGTGGATTTATTAGAGTTTTCTGTGTAAGATTGTGCATTTGCAAACAGAAACAATTTTATTTCTTCTTTTTATTTTTTTTCTTCGCCCACTAGCTTTGGGTAATACATCTACTGTCATATTGAACAGAAGTAATGAGTTTCGGAATTGTTTTTGTCAGTCCTGATTTAGAGGAAAAGCTTTAAACTTTTCACCATTGAGAATGATATTGGGTATGGACTTGCAAATTTGACTTAATTAGATCCACAGGAGGACAGTGACAGTGATACTTCACTTCTATGCTTAATTTGTTGAGTATTTTTATTAAGAGATGATGTCAAGTCATGTTAAATGCTTTTTCTGGGTCTTCTGAAACAATTCAGTGATTTTTATCCTTTTTCTGTTGACATGGTATATAGTGTCAACAGAAAAAGACCCTGAATGAACAAAGCCAATGAGAAAGAACAAAGCAGAAGCTATCACACTTCCAGATTTCAAACTGTATTTCAGAGGTATGTCTTCAGAAAATTATGTTACTGGAATAAAAACTAACACATAGGCAAATAGAACAGTATAGAGAGCCCAGAAATAAACTCACACAAATACAAACAACTAATCTTTGACAAGAACATCTTAAGTCAAGAACACACAAAGGGGAAGGGATAGTCTTTTCAGTAAATATTAATGGGAAGTCTGAATAATCACATCCATAAGAACAAAGCTGACCCCTATCTTATACTTTTCAAAAATCAGTTGAGATGGATTAAAAACCTACGTGCACATTCTGAATCCGTAAAACTCCTAGAAGAAAACATGGAAGAATGCCTTGACTTTAGTCTTGGCAATGATTTTTTTTTAGGTTAATGGACCACACCATGCAATGCACAGGTGTTACTCCTAGCTCTGTGCACAAGAATTACTCCTGACGGGGACAGAGTGATAGCACAGCGGGTAGGGCATTTGCCTTGCACGCGGCCGACCTGGGTTTGATCCCTGGCATCCCATATGGTCCTCCAAGCACCACCAGGAGTAATTCCTGAGTGCAGAACTAGGAGTGACCCCTGAGCATCGCTGGGTGTCACCCAAAAAAGACAAAAAAAAAAAAGAATTACTCCTGACAAGCTTGGGGAACCATATGAGATGCTGGGAATCGAACCCAGGTGGACCATGTGCAAGACAAGTCCCCTACCCACTGTACTATCTCTCCAGTCCTTGGCAATGATGTTTTGACATATAATATCAAAAGGGAAAATAGGGGCTAGCGCTTGGGGTGGAGTTTTCAACAGCAGAAGCAAAATCAACAGAAGCAAAAACTTGAAGAGTGGAATAAATCAAACTAAAATTCTCTGCACAGAAAAGGAAGCAAACAAGGAAATGAAAAGGCAACCTGAAATGGGATGAAATATTTGAAAGCTACATATCTGATAAGGGGTTAATATCTAAAATATATAAGGAATTTGTACAATTCAATAGCCATTTTTAAGCCAATAAATAGGGCAGAGAATCTGAATAAACATTTTTCCAAAGAATCATACAACCAACCGTTACATATAATTACATTCAAAACAATTACCAGGGAAGTGAAATAAAAACTACAATGAGCTGATACCTGACATTGATGATTATTCTCCAAAAGACAAGACACAGCAATTGTTGACAAGAATGTATAGAAAAGAGAACCCTTGCACCTTTGGGTTTAAAATGTATATTTTTGTTGAGTTTGAAAAGATAGTACCAGGGTTAAATCATTTGCCTTGCATTCAGCTCACACCAGTTCAATACTGAGCACTGCCAGGAAGGATCCTTGAACATAGAACCTTTGAACATAGAAGATCCTTGAACATAGAAGACCCTTGAACATAGAAGAGTTAAGTCCTCAGTGCCACAAAGTGTGGTAAAAAAAAATATACATAGGGATACAAATATACACATATATGTATTTAGATAGATAGAGAGAGACAGATTCCTCCAAAATAGAAAAATTGGATTGTCTTATGGTTATTCAGTCCCATTTCTGGGTATGAATCTAAATGAAAGCATCTCATAGATGTGTACATTTCTTCAAACATTTCAGCATTATAAGAGTCAAGATCTGGGAAACAGGAGGCGATCATACAGGGAGTGAGGTGCTTGACTTGCACATGGATGAACCCAGCTCCATCCCCAGTACCATATATATTTTCCCAGTACTGCCAGGAGTGACTCTGAGCACAGAGCCAGGAGTAAGCCCTCAATACTGCCCGGAGTGGCCTAATAACTAAACAAAACATATACATATGTATATTAAGAGTCTACATATGGTATAACCTGAGTGTTGGACAGGAGATGAATGTATAAACAAAAATGTGGGAGAGACATACATTTGGCCATAGGGAGAGACATACAATTATTTGGCCATAAAGCGAAGGAAAGCCAACCATTTGCCAGAACACGAACAGAACATGATGCTGAGTAAAATTAGTCAAGCACACACACACACACACACACACACACACACACACACACACAAATGAATAGTACATGATCTCATTCATATGTAGAATCTTAGAAGAAAAAAGAACGCATAAAGAAGTTGTGACATATATACACAGTGGAATGCTTTGCAACTGTCAGAAAATTGAAATCTTGCAGTTCAGTGCAACTTGGATGGGATTGGAGGCATAGTGTTAAGCAAAATGAGAGCGAGAAGGATAATCTCATTCACAAGCAGGATAGAGAAAGACAAAATACAGGAGTAGACTGTATCAGCCATGACAAATGCTTGACTTTATTTACAAAATGGACATTACTATGCAGGAGGGCAGGACAGAGGGGAGCAATGGGGGTGGACTGGAAATAACAGAAGGACAGTGATGGAGGATCTTGGGCCCTTTGGTGGTGACAAGTTGCAGCAAACTACATCAAGATCATAAATGTTGGGGCTGGAGCGATAGTACAACAGGTAGAGCATTTGCTTTGCACGTAGCTGACCCAGGTTCAATTCCCGGCATCCCATATTGTCCCCTGAGTGTGGCCAGGAGTAATTCCTGAGTGCAGAGCCAGGAGTAACCCCTGAGCATCACTGCACATCCCATCCACCCACCAAAAAGATAATAAATATTTACTGTGAACTTGTTGTTTAAGCTACCACACAACAATTTTTTTAAAAAAAAAAAGTGAAATCTAAATTTATAAAAACTAGAAAGCAGAATGCTAGTTGTTAGGGGTGTAAAGAAAATGAGGTAATGGTTGAAAGGTATAAACTTTAGTCCAGGGAAATAGCTCAAAAAATCTGGAGTAACTCTCAGAAGAGATGTCAAAATTCATGAAATTCCCAGGTACACAGGTCTTTGGGCCGAAAATTCTGGGACCTTTTCACCCACCTGCCACGGCCTCTGGTATATTAACAATCCAGCTTCACAGTTTCAGGACTAACCTCAAGAGACACCAAGCCAAAAAATTGTCCCAGTTCTGCAGTTACTGGTGCCTATGAGACCATGTGACACCTACAAATTCCACAATACTGACAGCCCAGTAGGAGTACAGCAAGTTAGATAAGAAAGAAACTAGAAGCCCACTAAGCTCAGTGAGCAAAAACAGTAACACAGAAGCCTTGAGAAGCACCAAACTGCTCAGTAAATCCTCAGGCAATGACTTTGATATCAACTTTGTGACAAAACAATTTTCACAAATTTTCTTCTACTGAAAATGTGAATATGCAAAGCCTAGATCATATCCTAAGTCCCCAGAGCCATACTTCAGTTAACCATGTCACTGTCACTGTCCTCCCATTTTTCTTCGATTTGCTGGAGCGGGCCCAGTAATGTCTCCATTGGAGACTTTGTTGTTACTGTGTTTGGCATGTTTGATACTTCCACTTACTGTTCTGTCATCACATGTAATATAAGATAAATTATTTTGTGCCTGCAAAGGGGGCAGGCTTGGGGGTGGGCGGGAAACTGGGGGCAATGGTAGGGAAAAGGTCACATTGGTGGTGGGATCGGTGTTGAAACATTAAAGGCTCAAAACAACTGAGTTATGAACAACTTTGTAAATCCCAAATTAAGTTTAAATGAAGTTAGTGGGGGTAAAAGGCTAGAGTGGATACCTGGCAGGTGCAAAGCCCTGAATTCAGTCCCTGATTCTGTGTGTTCCCCACCCCGACCCAGAATTCTTTAGGGGGTAGGCCACATCCATTAGAGCTCAGGGTTTATTACTGACCACTTCTGGCTCTGATTTCTATAGATCCTGAACACTTTGAAAGTCCACAGCTGAAAATAATTGCTGGAAACGCACATTTGTTTCATATTCAGAGTAAACACTCTTTTGATGACACTGATAATTATATGCTGGAAGTGACTGTGACAAGCAGAAGTTTAGATCTAGTAAGATTTTCTTTTTATATTTATATTATTCTATTTATTTTTGGTTTGAGGGCTTCATCTGCCTGTGCCCAGGGCTTACTCCTGTTCTGTGCTAGTCCTGGCTAGACTCAGGACTATATGGGGTGCCGGGAATTGAACCCAGGTCATCTGCATGCTAGGCAAGTGCCCTATTCATACTTTCTCTGGTCCAATGTTTTCTTCGATAACAAAAAAGAACTTATTCATTTTAAAAAATTTAGATGATGAATTCAGAAAAAGGACATTTTCAACATCATCCTACCAATCAAGGCTGAGTAAGTATTTCTTACATTTGGGTGTTACCATAAAGACTTATGACGCAAACTCACCTAATTCTGCTCCTTTCCCTGGAACCTGGGGAAAGTTCATTTCCTGTGTGACATTTCCTCATCTATAACCTGGAGGCAGTAGTAACACACACACACACACACCTCACAGGCTCCTTTGAGAATGAGTTGTCATGTTCTAAGTCAGGCAACCAAACCAATGCCCTGCATGTAGAGAATATGTGCTCATTCTCTACAACAGGATTTTCCTAATTCTTTGAGGGCACCATGTACATACTTTAAAATTGGGGCTAGAGAGGAGATGCTGAAGAGAATACCCAAATGACTGAACACATACTTTGCATGCAGGAAGCTCAAGTTCAGTCCCAGTACCACATGGTCTCCTGAGCATAGCCAAGTGTAGCCCCAAAACAAATAAGCAAAAGGAAAAAAAAACACTTAAAAATATTCGCTTCTAAGACTGGAGATACAGTCCAGAGGTTAAGGTGCTTGCCTTGCATGTGGTCAGCCCCGGTGCAATCCCCCTCACCCTATCTGACTCCTCAGGTGATCCTAGAGTGTTGCTGGGTATGGCCCACTCACCTACCCAAAATAAAATTTTCTCCCAGCGTGGATTGCCTCTTTGGCAGTGCATATCTAGTACATGTGAGAAGGTACAGGAGTTTGATCTCTATCAACACACACACAGTTTCCCGCCCACCCCCAAGCCTGCCCCCTTTGCAGGCACACACACACACACACACAGAGAGAGAGAGAGAGAGAGAGAGAGAGAGACGCGCACTTGCTTTTAACTATGTGGTTTGATTATTCAGCCAGTATTTTCTTTATATTCTAAAATTTTTTGTCATAAAATCTTCAGAATAGAGTAGAATTTTCCTCTCCCTTATCTCAAAGGAAAGAATAGTCAAGATTTGGCTAATTTTGTTCTATCATTCCTCATTAAGTTGTTTTTTTTTAAGTCTAATATATTGAAAACAAATAGCAAGCATCCTGTCAGTTCCCTCCCTTGTAGCGTGTGCTCATCTCTGAACAATATGTGTATTATAACACACAGAAACGCAATACTGTTATCATCCAAGAAACTTCTAAATGGATTTTGGTATCCCATAAAACCCAGTTCATAATCAAACTTCCCTATTTTTTTCTAAATTTGTTTTGGTTTGCATTGGTTTGGGATTAAGGGGTGTTAGGGGAGAACATACCTGAAAGTGTTCAGGATATTCCCTGGCAAAGCTTTGGGGATCTGGGAACCAGTAACAAGGCAAACACCCTACCCACTCTACTATCACTCTGGCACTGGGTCAGCTATGGCATAGCACATCCAATCCCCTGAATTTTCCTGGTTGTTTCTTCACTTGGATGACTATAAAAACCAACTCCCAGAAGAGAACAGTGCAGTCTCCTGCCCCCGCGCCTGGCTGCCCTCGCCAGAGCCCCTTGGAGGGGAGCGGGTCGAGCTTTCCTCCCCGCCCCGACCAGAGCTCCGCCAGCCAAAGACCTCCAGGACCAGCCACCACCATGCTGAGACCACTCTCCGCACACATGAAGGTACTGGCAGAGGAACAAAGTCACGCGGGTTCCGGGCCGAGATCTCCAAGCCTATTTGGATTGGGGCTGGGCATCCTCCACTCAGATCCTCCAAACTCCAGTAGGCGGGGGTCACACCCACCAACTGGCCCCCTGGTGCCGTGTAATTCCATCAACGGCCAAGACCCAGAGACTATAAAAACTAGCTCCCGGAAGAGAACAGTGCAGTCTCCTGCCCCCGCGCCTGGCTGCCCTCGCCGGAGCCCCTTGGAGGGGAGCGGGTCGAGCTTTCCTCCCCAGAGACTATAAAAATCAGCTCCCGGAACCGTGCGGCTGCATTCGAGGCCGCGCGACATCTTATTATGATTATGACATCTTATTATCTCATTCCTACTTTGGACAAACTGGCAGTCTACCGAATATAGCCTGCCCACAGGGCAGAGTCTGGCAAACTCCCCGTGGCGTACCCAATATGCCAAATACCAGTAACAATGATGGGTCTCATTCTCCTAAAGAACCTTGAATATAATCTCAGGGCTAGGACGAAAGAGACGTTACTGGGGCCTGCTCGAGGCAATCGACGAATAACAGGATGATTTGTGATTTGTGATTGTTTCTTCACTGCTGATTTAACTGTGCCCATCTTCAGCGCTACATTTCCCATCATGGAGAAACATACTTAGATTCTGTTTCTATGCATTTTGATAAAACTCTGTTTAAAAATGGATGATTTTTTTCATAGTCACAGAGAATGAGGAGTCACTAGTGGGATCTACTAATACCTTATTAATATTTCTACCATTTTAATCCTAAAAGTACTTTAGAATTCCAAACTGAGTTTATCCCATTGTGTTGCATGTTGCCCCTCTTCTCCCCGACCCCCTGCCCCATTCAAGGTTTACCCTCATTTCTTTCTTTTTGGGGGGGTCTTTTTTGGGTCATACCCGGCAATGCTCAGTGGTTATCCTGGCTCTGAACTCAGGAATCACTCCTGGCAGTGCTCGGGGGACCATACGGGATGCCGGGGATTGAACCCAGGTCGGCCACATGCAAGGCAAACTCCCTACCCATTGTACTATCTCTCTGGCCCCCAGCACCCTCATTTCTTGAGTATAAATTCACTGTAAAATCTCTGAGCTATCAGGGGTCACTAAGTGCTGCTTTGCAAATGGTCTCCTAGTTGGGGTTCATGTGCCTCATCAAAGCAGATATCAGAGTACTCCTCCATGTTGGAGCGGGGCTGCTGCTCTCTGGGCTGGATGCCCTGGCAGTATTAAATGCAGTGAGTCTCGCTTGAGCTTTGCTCATTTCCAGGTTCTGCCCCCCACCATCATTCGGGACTTCCTGTATCTCCTCCTGGAAGACATCAAGTATTCTCTTATGATGCATTTCACACAGACTGTCCTGGCCAAATCTCCTCGGTCTCTTTTCTAGTAGAGGAAGAGGAAGAGGAAGAGGAGGAGGAGGAGGAGGAGGAGGAGGAGGAGGGGAGAGGAGGAGGGGAGAGGAGGAAGGGGGAGGAGGGAGGAGGGAGGAGGAGGAGGGAGGAGGAGGAGGGGAGAGAAGGAGGGGAGAGAAGGAGGGAGGAGGAGGAGGGGGGAGGGAGGAGGAGGAGAAGGAGGGGAAGGAGAAGGAGAAGGAGAAGGAGAAGGAGAAGAAGAAGAAGAAGAAGAAGAAGAAGAAGAAGAAGAAGAAGAAGAAGAAGAAGAAGAAGAAGAAGAAGAAGAAGGCTTAAACCATGAAAACTTAATTTTTTCAAAATTCTCAAAGCAAGATGTTCCAGGTCAAGGGATCTACAGAGGGTTTCTTCCCCAGCCCTCTCTAATGTTCATCAGCATCACCATTATTCTGCCTGTGTCCTCATGTTCTCTTCCCTTGGATCTCATCTCTGTTCAGATTCCCCTGGTTCAGTAGACTCCCATAGATTGAACAAGGACCACCGTAATTACTACCTCATAACTTTATTCACAGCCTTTTTCGAGGCCCCTCTTCAAACACAGGCTCATGATGAAAGACGGGCATTGAGGACTCTTGCATGTAGGTAGACACACATTAACCTTCATTTGTTTGGAAATTTCTAGGGTTTCATTTCCCTGGCATTTGTCATCTGGGATGCCTCGACCAACTGTGTTGTGACAACCGTCATCCCAACCTTGAAAAGCAGCTGCAGCTATGTCAAGGCTATGCACCACGTACCCTACATACATATCCCCAAGGAAGACTGGATTAAGGGCGTTCGCAAAGACAGTCAGGGTTTCAATCTCATCAAAACTCTGCCGGTAAAAACCTGGAGGAAATTGTTTAGAGGGACCAATGCTCTATTAACTTGTGTGCTGCTGGCTGTCTTTGAATGCTTTGCATTTTAGGATGTGTTTAAGCTTCAAGTCATCTTGAGGATCTATTTCGAATATGTAAAACTCTCTGAAAGGGTGATTTTTTTTCTGGTCATTCGTTTTCAAAATTCTTAATCTGATTTTTACACCCTGTGATAGAGCTGTCAGGCTGGGCTTTCGTGATCTGTTCGTGGTCTTGTGCCCAAAGTTGATTGTAATATAAATGATTTCTCTTTGTTAACTCTCTTATTTCTTCTAATTTGATGTGTGACAAAAAAGCAAATTACCACATTTGAAGGATTATTTACTGAATATAGTATCCATTTAAACTTCATTATATGGGCCGGAGCGATAGTACAGCAGGTAGGGCGTTTGCCTTGCACGCAACCAACCCGAGTTCAATCCCCGGCATCCCTTATGATCCTCCAAGCACCGCCAGGAGTAATTCTTGAGTGCAGAGCCAGGAGTAAGCCCTGAGCATCGCTGAGTGTGACCTAAAAAGCAAAATAAATAAATAAAAATATAAATAAATAAATTTCATCATACTGGCTTCAGGTAGTTATTATCATACTGCATACTGCTATATCACGCTACTATAAATACTAATTTTATTTTTTACTTTTGTACAAGTTCCAAAATAAACTACTCTAGAATTAAATTGTTGTCAGAATTCCAGAAAGTGAGAGACTAAGAGGGTCAGGGGGAGGGAGATGAATAGAAAATTTACTTTAATACCTGGAGCTATTGGCTTTACTTTAATACCTGGAGCTATACTTTAATACCTGGAGCTATTGGCTGGAGCGATAGCACAGCGGTAGGGCGTTTGCCTTGCACGCAGCCAACATGGCCGACCCGAGTTCGATTCCTCCGCCCCCTCGGAGAGCTCGGCAAGCTACTGAGAGTATCTCGCCCGCAAGGCAGAGCCTGGCAAGCTCCCCGTGACGTATTCGATATGCCAAACACAGTAACAACAAAGTCTCCAATGGAGACGTTATTGGGCCCGCTCGAGCAAATCAATGATCAACGGGAGGGCCTTTACTTTATTTACTTTACCTGGAGCTATTAAAGTAAAATAAAGTATTTGCTTTGAAATCTTTTCCGGTAAATCAATATATCGACTTTATTTATTTTTTGCTTTTTGGGTCACACCTGGTGAACTCCTGGCTCTGCACTCAGGAATTACTCCTGGTGGTGCTCAGGGGACCATATGGAATGCTGGGAATCAAACCCAGGTCAGCCGCGTGCAAGGCAAACGCTCTACCTGCTGTGTTATCGCTCCAGGCCCAATATATTGACTTTGAAGACAGTAAATAATGGTAAACGCTACATTTCTTTCGCTTACTCACTTGCAGGTGAACTACAGGCCTCCATCTAACATGGGAATCGCTATTCCACTCACGAATAACTTTTACCATGCGGATCCCAGCAAGCCCATCCCAAGAAATCTATTCCCCGAGTCAAGAGTAAGTAACTTCGCACCACCTGTAAGCATGGCTTTATTTGGATTTCAGGAACTGTTTGTTACAATCACAGATGCCCTGTGTGCAGATGTTCAAAGGGGAAGGCGTGTTCAGCCCGGTCTCATCTGCCCCAGCATCAGCTGTCTTTCCAGGTCATCGCCAGAGCTGCTCCCCTGATCTTTCCCCTTCCCCTTGTTCTTGATCTTGCTATGGCCAAAGAGCCACACAGGCCGGGCCGTGGTGCCCACATGCTTGGTTGTGGTGCACTGGGGTTTGCACAGTTGTTCTTAACATTTTTCTAATTAAATGTTTTAATTAATTATAATATTTAAATAATTGGGCTGGAGCGATAGCACAGCGGTAGGGCGTTTGCCTTGCACGCAGGCAACATGGCCGACCCGAGTTCGATTCCTCCATTCCTCTCAGAGAGCCCAGCAAGCTACAGAGGGTATCTCACCTGCACGGCAAAGCCTGGCAAGCTCCCTGTGACGTATCCGATATGCCAAACACAGTAACAACAAGTCTCACAATGGAGACGTTACTGGGCCCGCTCAAGCAAATCGATGAACAACGGGAGGACAGTGCAGTGCTATTTAATTAATTATAATATTTTTCTATTAAAAACAGTCTGAACTGGGTTTTTTTTCTTTTCTGATGCTTATACTCAGGTTCCCAAGGGTACTGTGCTCTGTGCTCTGCTACATTCACACTCCAGCAGCTGTGCTCCCAGGGTCACTCTAGATTCACACATGTGCTCAGAGGGGTCACTGTGGGATCACACATGAGCTCCCCAAGGGATCATTGTGAGCTCACACATGAGCTCCCCAGAGGTCACTGTGGGCTCACACATGTGTTCATAGGGATCATGTGGGTTTATACGTGTTTCCCCAGGATCACTGTGGGCTCAAATACATGTTTAATATCAGGGGCCACTGTGGCTTACATACGAGTCTTTGGTTTCTGATGGCCCAAAAGTATGGGCTAATTTAGACCTAGGTCTATGATGTGGGCTAGGTTTCCATTCTGTAGGTCCCAATCTACAAATCAGTGTGGGTTTTTTTTTTCGGTCACTTTTATTTTCAGTTATTTTTCAATTGAGATGACACTGATTTACAAGAGTGTATGTTTGCTGGAGAAGTAGTACAGGGGTTAAGTTTCTTGCCTATCCCGCTGAATTCAGTTTGAATCTCTGGGACTGCATATGATCTCACCAAGCACCACCAGGAAGGATGGGAGGGAGAAAAGAAAGAGAGGAGATGGGGAAGGAGAAGGAGGTGGAACATGATAGTGTAATAAGAACAAATATCCATACTCAAGAGCATGGAATTGATAGTCTAGAAGTAAACCCACACATCTCTGGTATTTTGATTTTTTTTCTTTTTTGGATCATATCTGGAGATGCACAGGGGTTACTCCTGGCTCATGCACTCAAGAATTACTCCTGGTGGTGCTTGGGGGACCATATGGAATGCTGGGAATTGAACCCAGGCCGACTGCGTGCAAGGCAAACCCCTACCCACTGTGCTATTGCTCAAGCCCCATCTCTGGTATTTTGAAAGTGTGCCAAGTCGACTCAGTGGAGAAAGTCTTCTGAATAAATAGTGCTGGCACAATATGGACATCTCCACACAGCAGCCTGAATATGAACACCAGTCTTACAAGAATCAGCTTTAAAAAAAAAATTGTCAAAAAAGGAATCAACAACCTAAGTGTAAGAGTAAAAACTCACTCACGGGGCTGGAATGATAGCACACCGGGTAGGGTGTTTGCCTTGCATGCAGCTGACCCGGGTTTGATTCCCAGCATCCCATATGGTCCCCTGAGCACCACCAGGATAATTCCTGAGTGCAGAGCCAGAGTAACCCCTGTGCATCGCCAGGTGTGACCCAAAAAGCAAAAAAAAAAAAAAAAAAAAAAAAAAAGAGTAAAAACTCATATAAGAAAATGTAACTAAACAATCTTTTGTCACTATGGCCAGAGAAATAGTGCAGTGGGTAGGGTGCTCGCCTTGTGCACAGCCAACCCGGCTTTGGTTCCCCAAACACCATCTGATGTGATTGCTGAGCATCAAGCCGGGAGTAAACCTTGAGAACTGCCAGGTATTACCCAAAACAGACAAGCAAAATCTTTGTCCCTTTAGATCAGGCCGTGGTATGTTAAAAATGACATGAAAAATCATAAGCAACTAAAAACAAATAAATTGAGCATCATCAAAATTTGAAATCTTTGGTTTTGTTTTAGGGTCACAGCTGATAGTGCTTACTTACTCAGGAGTTGCTTCTGGTGCGATTTTAGGGACCATGTGCTGGCATGAATGGAACCTGGGCTTCCAGCATGCAGAGTGTGTGCTTAGTTCTGAGCCATCTCTCTGGCCCGAATATTATAAACCTTTCATTTGTAGTAGAGGGAAGAAGGCATTTGCCTTGCACGTGGTTGACCCACTTCGGTCTCTAGCATTATATTTGGGCCCAAGCTTTGCCAAGAATGATGCCTGAGTAGAGGTCCCTGAGCACTGCTGGGCTGGGGGTGGGGGTGGGAACCACCACCTTTCTGAATGAAAGGACACTGTTGAAGAAGTAAAAAGGTACTCCATGAGAGACGACAGAAGGGGCCAGAGCAATAGTACAGCGGGTAGTGTTTGCCTTGCATGCGGCCGACCCGGGTTCAATCTCTGGCATCCCATATGGTCCCCTGAGCACCGCCAGGAGTCATTCCTGAGTGCAGAGACAGAAGTAGCCCCTGAACATCGCTGGGTGTGACCCAAAGGGCAGAAGAAAGGAAGGAAGGAAGGAAGGAAGGAAGGAAGGAAGAAAGAAAGAAAGAAAGAAAGAAAGAAAGAAAGAAAGAAAGAAAGAAAGAAAGAAAGAAAGAAAGAAAGAGGACAAAAGTGTTTGTAAGGGTCCAGTTTCCAGAATAGCCACCAGATTCTGCTGTAAGGTGCTTTTGGTTCAATGTTATTTCATTCATCTGAACACTGTGGAGAAAAATAGAAATACTGGCCACTGATGAATGCCACATTCTCTGAGGTGCTTTCTTTATTTCCTGTCTCATTTCAAGGTACAGTTTCTGGGCTCAAAGGACTGAGCACAGGCTGTGGATGTTAGAGAAGGCCCCAGTCTGATCCCTGGCACCAGATGTTCTCCTGAGTACTACTAGGAGTGTTCCCCAAGAACAGAGCCAGGAGTAGCCCCAAGCAATGCCAGATGTGACCCAAAACTTTAAAAATAAAAGTTTCCAAGAATCTATAATACAACGTGCTTTTTAAGGAATTCTTACAATTCAACAGCAAAAATAGTCAAACTACCCAATTAGAAATAAAGTCTTGGAAGAAACATGTCTCCAAAGAAGTTCTTCACACAGCCAGCAAATTTATGAAAAGATGCTCAGTATAACCATTAGGCAAGCCCTAATGTGTTACCACCCCATGCCCATTAAGTTAGTTATAATAGTTTTGAGTGGAAAATGACAAGTATTGGCAAGGATGTGGAAAAACTGGAACCCTCATGCTGATGGAAATGCAAAATATTTCAGCTGTTAATGAAAAACAGTTTGCCTGTTCTTCCAAACATAAGAAAGAATTATTTTTAAAATCAGTCATTCTACTTCTGGTAAAAGAAAGGAAAATGTATGCTCAAATTAAAACATCATAGCAGCGGGCTGGAGAGATAGCACAGGGGGTAGGGTGTGTTTTCCTTGCACGCAGCCAACCTGGGTTCGATTCCCAGCATCCCATATGGTCCCCTGAGCACCGCCAGGAGTAACTCCTGAGTGCAGAGCCAGGAGTAACCCCTGTGCATCGCCGGGTGTGACCCAAAAAGCAAAAAAAAAAAATCATAGCAGCACTTTTTGTAACAAATATTCTTTTCCCAAAGGAAAGGAGTTCAGAAATAAATCTAAACAGGTTTATTTGAATCTCTGGTTCAATCTCCAGGACTGAATAAGTTAATACATAGATAAACCAATTTCTAGCATGATCAACCAACTAAAAGGCACAAGACAAAGGGAAAGTTCTAGTGGAGATCTTAAATGTCAATTAGGAGGACCAGAAAGATAGCACAGGGCTTAAGGCACTTGTCTTGCATGTGACTGACCCCAGTTCAATCCCTGGCACCACATATGATTTCCTGAAAACTGCCAGGAGTGATGCCTGGGTACAAGGCCAGTAGAAAGGCCTGATCAATGCTGAATAGAGTCCAACCCCCCTCAAAAAAATAAATAAATGTTAATCACACTTGCTATAAGAAATATCAGGGGCTAGAGCAATAGGACAGCAGGTAAGTCATTTGTATTGCACGCAGCTGACCTGGGTTCGAGTCCCAGCATCCCATATGGTCCCCTGAGCACTGCCAAGAGTAATTCCTGAATGCAAAGTCAGGAGAAACCCCTGTGCATCACCGGATGTGACCCCCCAAAGCCAAAAAATAACAAAAAAAAAGAAATATCCGTGGGAAACTAGATTTGGGAGTTGTTTCATAGGTCTGCATCCCGCGCCCCCCAATATCAAGTCTGCTTCTTCGGGTCCCACATGCCCATTCTAGGAGGACCCAGAGAAGGTTTTGGCAATCTGCACTGCATCCAGAATGACAAGACATTTTAGTGTGCACATAGGTTGACCATTAACTCTCCCAGATTTACTGGAAAGGAGCAGAATAATAGTGTTGAGACTACTGAGAAAATTCAGAAACATAGTTCTATCTTAACTGAATTATTTATGAATTCTGTTCCCCTTCACACACACTTTTTAGCCTCTTAGAGATTTTATCCATTCAGAGAGCAAATACATATTCCTTAAGTTTCCAGAAATTCTGCCACCAAAAAAAGTAGCAAGTCAATCTATCTTAACTCTGTTTGCAGAAACGGGGTCAGTTCAAGCAATGTGCTGGGGCGTCCAATCGAGAGCAGTGTCATTGTACAGATAATGATAAGTATTCATATGCTGTTGCTGTCTCAGACTGCAGAGAAAAGGTAAGATCCTTTTTAATTACATGAATACTATATTTTCATGTCAATAAAATTTTGACATATTCACTTCTATTAAGCAAAATGACTAAGATCATTCACCATGTCTTAACATGACATAGAACTATGTGTAACTCAGAGTTAAAACAAAATAGGGGCCGGAGCACCAGTACAGCAAGTAGGGTGCTTGTTCTGTATACAGCCGATCCAGGTTCAATCTCCAGCATCCCATAGGGCCCCCAGAGCCTCGCAGGAGTGATCCCTGAGCACAGATCCAGGAGTAATATCTAAGCACTGCTGGGTGTGCTTAGAAAACAAAAACTATGTGTAGACAAAGCCAAAGGGACCTGAATGTAAATGCCCATCGTTAAGTTAATTAACTTTATCTGTAAAATAGAATAAAACATTCACTACTCTGATCACTTAATCGATTAGTTACTCAGATTAATCATATACTATAATATACACTCACTTTCACACACACCTCACATTTCGTAACTTGTAAAACACTATATACTCATTATAGTGAATTCCAATTAATTCAAAAAATGTCTTTCATATGAGTATCAGATTCTGAAATATAGAAATTGAACTTTACACAAAGAAAAACAAACAAATAAATGAGTAGAATTTTAAGTTCTTCGCCCAAAACTTAGTCTGGTAGCAGTAACAAAACAAAAAAAGTACACAATATGTTTTTTAGGGAAATGGGTTCTGTGTCAAATATTCCATTGTGTTAGTCTCAAATCATGTAAAGGTATATGAAGCTTCTGATTTTGGCATTAATGGAAACAAGTATATTAATTGTAACTTTCAAGTAGATCTATTTCAAAAATTTTATAGAACTATGTATATGTATATTCTTCACCATAAATTATTTACCTTTAACTTTAAATGCAAATCCTTATGCTTAGATACGTCTTCACACATACACACAGTATTAGCCAGACCATCATTATTCACTGCATCTTGAGAGCAATTGAACAGTTTTTCCACGTTGCTGAAATAAAATACTACTACCTGAGTTTGACTACCTGCTCCCTGGTTTTCTCATTCAGTTTGAGGTCCAGAGAAGCCAGGTAAGTTTCCAAAGATTATATCATAAATACAAGTTGACACCACAATTAAACTCTACCTGGAAAGTTTCTGTTTAAAAAAAAAAGTGTGGATAGCAGGGAAAAGGGTGTGAAAGAGACAGGCAAGATTCAGTTGAACAGCACCTTTTGGGTGTGGGCCCACAAAATACAGAGTGAGAATCTCATAGTGCATTCCCATGCAAGGAGTCTGAATTTTGTGACCACCATATCTGTATTACTCTGAGCGTTCACTTGAATTCTGCCAAATGACAGGTTTCCTGGCCTGAGAAGGCAGAAGAAACTACAAGTTTATTTCTTCTAGAATCATCCACCTTGGGAGTTGATGGACACCACCAACCACGAAGATGACAATGAATTTTCCATTGACATTTATCCCCGGGGATTTGTGTTGCAGGTTCCTCGGTTTAAATTTCCGGTCACAAACTATCCCATTACTTTGGAAATTCACGACGAGAATGGCAATATCCCAGTAGCCAGGCCATACCTGGTGACCGTGTCAGAAGTGAATCAGAGAGGGAACTGGAAATTAAGTAGGCTTTGCTTTCTTCTCTCTTTCTTTCTCTCTCTCTCTCTCTCTGTCTTTATTGTTGAATTGTATTTTACTGGGACAAATCAATCACAAATCACAATCACAAATCATCCTGTTATTCGTCGATTGCCTCGAGCAGGCCCCAGTAACATCTCTTTCATCCTAGCCCTGAGATTATATTCAAGGCTCTTTAGGAGAATGAGACCCATCATTGTTACTGGTATTTGGCATATTGGGTACGCCAAGGGGAGTTTGCCAGACTCTGCCCTGTGGGCAGGCTACATTTGATAACCTGCCAGTTTGTCCAAAGTAGGAATGAGATAATAAGATGTCATAATAAGATGTCGCGCGGCCGCGAATGGGACAAAATAATGTACAAAATTACTCATAATTGAGTTTCAGGCATACAATGTTACAACATTTATCCTATCATAAGCAGTAACATCCTTATGACCTTGGTCAGGGGCTACAGAACTTGCCCACCTACAGAACTGCCAGGTGCAGACACCTGGATCCGTGGACACTTAGATGGTTACACCACCTCCCACTTCCAGACCTGGATTCTGGGGGACTTAAAAACATTTTGAAGAATATGAGCTTTAAGAGGCCTGACAGATGACACAGGGGTTAAGGTGCTTACCTTGTATGCTGCCAATCCAGACTCCAATCCCTGGTGCTGCGTATGGTACTCCAAGAATCACCAGGGGGGTTCACCTGAGGACAGAGCCAGGAGTAGCTCCTGAGCAATGCCGGTGCAGTCCCAAACCCTGAAAGAAAAACATAATAATTTGAGTAAAAGAGGCTAAGGCTGGGTCAAATTAGAGCTCAGTTTTGCTCCATGGCTTGGAGGCCAGCCACACATGCTAGGGGAAAAGGGAGCTCAGATAGAGAAGGGAGCACCAAATAAAGGGGGTTGGGAGGATCCTCCCAGGATGGGAGAAGCATGCTGAAAGTAGACTATAGACCAAACATGATTGCCACTCAATGCCTCTTTTGCAAACCACAACACCCAATAGTAGAGAGAGAACAAAAGGGAATGCCCTGCCACAGAGGCAGGGTGGGATGGAGGGATGAGGTGTGGGAGGGATACTGGGATCCGTGGTGGTGGGAAATGGGCACTGATGGAGGAATGGGTATTTGATCATTTATAATTGAAACCCAAGCACAAAAAATTTGTTAGTCTACAACTGTACCTCATGGTGTCTCACTAATAAAAATTTTTAAAATATATATTTAAAAAAGAGGCTAGGGGCTGGAGCAATAGCACAGCAGGTAGGGCATTTGCCTTGCACGCAGCTGACCTGGGTTCGATTCCCAGCATCCCATATGGTCCCCCTAGCACCGCCAGGAGTAATTCCTGAGTACATGAACCAGGAGTAACTACTGTGCATAGCCAGGTGTGACCCAAAAAGTAAAAAAAAAAAGAGGCTAAGGCATGTTACAGATGAATAGCATGGCCTGAGGACTGTAGTCTATGATATATAGTGAGATGTCCCCAGAAAGTGCCAACCTCTAAGCTTAATATATCTCTTACGTGTTCATAGGGCTGGAGCGATAGCACAGCAGGTAGGGCGTCTTGCCTTGCACGCAGCTAACATGGCCGACCCGAGTTTGATTCCTCCGCCCCTCTCGGAGAGCCCGGCAAGCTACGGAGAGTATTCGATATGCCAGACACAGTAACAACAAAGTCTCCAATGGAGACGTTACTGGGCCCGCTCGAGCAAATCGATGATCAACGGGAGGGCCTTTACTTTACTTACTTTACTTTACTGTGTTCATACAAGATGACTAGAAATAAGAAGTAAATTTACTGTGATTGTTTAAATGGATTACTAACTGAGGAAAGAAGAAAGTAATACACCCTGGATGGAATCCCATCCTTGAGCAGATCTCCTAATAATATGGAGTGCTGAACCCTCAGATAAGATTTTGTCCTTGAGTTAATTTCCTAGAACTACCCTGAAGGAGTGACTTTACCTCTGTTTGTTGTTATGATAATGTTCAACCACACCTAGTGTTCCCCTCCCTTTCATGATTTCTACATAACTATGTAGTAAGGGGAAAGAGACGCTCTAATGAGGTAGAGGACTTTGTGGTTTACTAGGAGACTAGGATGATGGAACTATGATGACTAGGACTACAAACCAAAACTACAATTATGATTGTGCTGTAAGGGAGAGATTGGACTACGTTGGGGAGGAGAGAAAAATAAACCGTCTACCAACCAACCTGGGGCCCTGTTTCTCTGCTCCCCCAATCCTCCGACTGTCCATTGGTGTCATCTGGCCTGAGGAGGCAGCTCTCGACCACCAAACTCTTGAGTCCCTCTTGAGCCTGTTCCTTTTCTTTTGAAACTCAAACCCCCTCCAACACCTACTCCAAATTTCACAGTGCTAACAGCCAGTAGAACCACAGCAGAATTGATGGGAAAATTGCATAGAACCCTACCAAGCTCAGTGAGCGAAAACAATAAAGCAGAAGGCTCCACCAGCTCAGTAAATCCTTAGACAATGATTTTAGTAACATCACTGTGAGATGTAATTAATACATAACAATTAATACATATTGACTTTTACTGAAGTGGAGAGAAAAGAATGACTTTTATTGTTCTATTTTCTGATAATCCCATTTCCCTTTATGGTGTATCAAGCACTATCAAGTGAATTTGTTTGTGCCTGCTAAGGGGGCAGATTGTGGGGTGGAAGGGAAACTGGGGGCATGGGTGGAGGGAAGATCACACTGGTGATGGGACTGGTGTTGAAATGTTGTATGCCTGAAACATCTGTATTAGGAAAAACTTTATATAACATGGTGTCATAGTAAAAACAACTTTTTAAATAACATGATTCCATTTATACTGGGGGAAAGAGGGGATAAGCAGTGTACCCTCTTTTTGCTATGATATTATGGAGATAGATGTTATAGGGACTCCACATTATCTATGGGATCTCAACTCATTTGACAAGTAAAGTTGCTAAAACATTTGATCACAGGGCTGGAGAGATAGAACACTGGGTAGGGTGTTTGTTTTGTATGCAGTCAGCCTGGGTTTGGTCCCCTGCATCCCATATGGTCCCCCAAGATCTGTCAGAAGTAATTCTTGTATGCAGAACCAGAAGTAAACACTGAGCATTACTGGGTGTGACCTAAAAAAAATCTTAATTGTCATATAATTGACAAGAAACCGAAAGGTTTTAAACAAGATAAATGAAATGACCTCAACTGATTTTGCCTCAAATATACAACATTTCGTATACTCATGTGTGTATACTTTAAGGTATATATTGATAGAAATGGAGGGTAGGATGTTGGGACACTCCAAGCAGTGCTCAAGGGTTATTCCTAGCTCTGAGCTCAGAGATCATGCCTGGCAGAGCTCAGAACACCACATGAGATGCCAGAAATAGAACTCAAATTGGTCACTTGCAAGGCAAACACCATACCCCGAGTACTATTATTCCAATCTCTGTCCATCAATAGAATTAAGTAAAATTTGACCTATTCTGACTACGTTACCAACAATTCAGGTACATGGTCTTCAGTAAGTCTTACTCTGCCCAACATAAGTGTTCTGGAAATAAAAAACTCAGCAAAGAAAAGTACTAAATGTTTTGCTTTAATGAGCACCCTATTTTCGGTAGTGTGATGATGCCTGTTGTTATCAACTTTTCAGCACTGATTGTTAAACAGTCAAGTATTTTACCTGCTAGCTATGAGACCATTAAGGCTTGAAATTGGCTGTACTGAGGGTATTTACACCATGGAAATTGGCAAATGCTAAGTTAGAGTTCCCCCCACTACCACCACTTAGGTGCCATATGCCATTACAAACCTTTGCAATCTCTAACTCCCACCCTATATACCCAATTTTAGATAGAATTATGAGAAAAACAGGGGAAATTGATTAGTCTTTGGGAAAATTGAGTGACTCTACTGGGGAAACTTTCTATGACCTTACTGAAAACCATTTACCAATGACCAACGTAGTCCTTATCTCATTTTTGTTTTTTGGTGGTTCTCCCTTTTAGACCCACACCCAGTGATGCTAAGGGACTGCTGGAGGGCCTTTTCGATAGTGCTTAGGGGACCATGCAATGCCAGGGATCATACCAGGGGCTCCTGCCTGTGAAGAGGGGTCAAAGAGTGCAATATTCCCACCATCTTGGACCCATCTTCCTGGCTAGATCCTTATCACATGATGGTGGTCATTTACCCCATTGCCAAAGACACGGTGTTCATGCAGGTCAGGACTCAACCTGAAGAACAGTGGCTAGAGTTCTCTTCCTTGACAGTGCCCCAAGAAGATGCTGTGTGAGATCATCAGAACTAATTTCCCCTAAATACCTCTTCCACTTAAGCAGCTAAAAGTCAGGAATACCTTAGTCATCTTAAGGTGTGGGACTGTCCAACGAATGCAATTATTGTAATGTATGCAAACTGTATGTAAGATGAGAAATAAGAGTAAATGTGCTTAAAATATACTTTATGTACTTTTAGAATACAGTGTACCAAGTGATATCAAGAAACTGAAAGAATACTCAGAATTTCTTTTTCAAGTTCCTGTGTATAACCCTGTAGGCCTCAACTTAAGTATAGAGGTAAACTGACCACCTTTTTCTTTTTCCTGCTTTGAATTCAGATAAAATGTCTATATTTAAGCTAAACGTTAATACTCTGGTTTTAGTTTTAAAGTAAAGGTAGTTACGAATGATGAATGTAACAACTGTAAAGTGTATGGAGAGGATTTCTTTGCCTTCCTCTCCCTTGATGTTACAATTCTCAAGTTGTCCAACAGTTGAATTTAGCATGGACTTAATACTTTGTGAGCTGATTGACTGGACAATATCAAGGTAGAGCTAGAATGAGTGTTTCCAAAACTGGGGTGTGTGTGTGTGGGGGGGGTGATGAGCTTTGCATTCTTCAGCTGAATAGTCCCAATTGTAGGCTTGTGGATCCAATGTTAAGTAGACATAATCTAGATAACTGTCATCAAAGGCAGTAAAAATTAGGAGACAGCCAAGATCATGGAGATGAGGATGAGCTAAAAGCACTCACCGGGGCTGGAGCAATAGCACAGCGGGTAGGGTGTTTGCCTTGCATGCAACCAACCCGAGTTCAAACCCCAGCATCCCATATGGTCCCCGAGCACTGCCAGGAATAATTCCTGAGTGCATGAGCCAGAAGTAACCCCTGTGTATTGCCAAGTGTGACCCAAGAAGGAAAAAAAAATATCTTCACATTCTTTTCTTCATCCTAACAACATGTTTGTCCACTCCCAAGCTCCTCTGCTACATGCGTGTCCTTTCCCAATGTCTTTTGTTTTGATGTGTGATCCTGCTCCAAGTGTGAGTCGTGAAACCAAACTTTTCCTCTGCTGCACTGAGAGGGCAAGTGGCCCCTTTGAGCCAGACACGCTGACAAATGATGCGCTGTACTTCCCCCACAGGGCTCGGAGCTTTTTCACTTCAGAGTGTCCGTCGTTGAAGGCATCAGTTTTTGTGAGTTAACTGAAGAATTTCAGGTAACATGGAATGTGCAGGTATCACATGAGGCGGGGGGCGGGAGGTGGGGGGAGACAGGGATAGCAGGGAAAATAACTTGATAAACCTCAGTGCACGAAGACCCCCAGAGGAAATGGGCAGAGCTGGCGGATGGACAAGTTCAGGGGCCCAGGGAACTTGGATTATGGCAGTGACAGTGCCAGAAAGTAGGGAGAGAAGCTGTGTGGCAGGTGACAGGTCCAGCAGTGTCAGGAGCACTTGAACAACAGCCTCTGTTTGTCTGGATTCCCTTTCCCCATCAGCTTGGGTCTGACTTTTGATACGCACCCTCTTTCCCCCGGGAATGCCCCCACATATCTGTCTAAATTCCAGTAGTTTTCTTCCTTTGGTGATTTACATTGTAATGGTAGAGTGGAGTTTTTTTTTTCGGGGGGAGGGGAGCGACACACCCAGTGGTGCTCAGAGCTTATTCCTGGATCTGTGCATGGGAGTCACTTTAGAGGTATTCTGGAGGCCATACAGGGTGCTGGGGATCGAATGGGGTTAGCCCCATGCACTGCTTCATGCCCATACTCTATCTCCTGCCCCATCATGGTAGAGTCAGTTAGAAAGTGTCAGAAAGCAGATCATTAAGAATTGGGAGTCAACATCTATGGATTATAAAGTAACAAAATGGGAGACTAACACCCAAGAATAGTAGAGATAAGGACCAGGACGTTTCCATCACAGCTTGGAAGTCGGCCTCAAATGCTGTGGGGAAAGGCAGTTCAGATAGAGAAGGGAACACCAAGTAAAAGGCATTTGGAGAACCCTCTCGGGTTGGGAGGTGCATGCCGAATGTAGACTATAGATAGAACACAATGGCCACTCAATGCCTCTATTGCAAACTGCAACACCCAAAAGGGAAGAGAAAAAAAAGGGAATGCCCTGCCATGGAGGTGAGGTGGGGAGGGAGCGGATAGGGTGAGGGTGGTGGGAGGGATACTGGGATCATTGGTGGTGGAGAATGGGCACTGGTGGAAGAATGGGTACTCAATCATTGTATGACTGAAAAGCAAGCATGAAAGTTTCTGAGTATGTAACTGTACCTCACAGTAATTCGCTAATAAAAATAAATAAATAAAGTATAATAGATTGGCAAACCCTGGGCTGGAGCGATAGCACAGCGGTATGGCGTTTGCCTTGCACACAGCCAATATGGCTGACCTGAGTTCGATCCTCCGCTCCTCTTGGAGAGCCTGGCAAGCTGCCAAGAGTATCTTGCCCACATGGCAAAGCCTGGCAAGCTACCCGTGACGTATTCGATATGCCAAACACAGTAACATCAAGTCTCATGATGGAGACGTTACTGGGCCCGCTCGAGCAAATCGATGAACAACAGGAGGACTGTGACTGTGACTGTGAGATTAGCAAACCCCACCAAAAAAATGAATTGGGGGTCAAAATTAGGTTCCCCAGATCACCCCATTATTTACAATGTTTCTGATTACTTGTTCATATAATGGCATCTGCTACCTGCGGGGACAGACAAACTGAGAATTTAGTTATTAAGAACTCACTCATGTAAAGCATTGGTGCTCCATTGATGAAAACAAAATCAAAATCCTTCTTTTCTCTCTCCCTCATTCCCTCTTCTCCCTCCTCTCTCCCTCTCTGTCTCTCTCTCTCCCATAATGATGTGCACTTCTGTAGGGGTTGGGTAGCCAGACAGCAGCACGGCAGACACCTAAAACTTGGAGAAAAAAATCCATCCCACTAGACAGATGTTGGGGACAGAAGCATCAATCATAGGAAGAACATAAGTGGGAAATTCTCATGACCTCTCTCTCTCTCTTACTCTCTCTCTCTCTTTTCTCTGCCTTTGCCTCATGGGCAACCCCAGTTCCAGGGAAGAACCAAACACTAAAAGGGGAGTTCAACTTCTCACAGAGCTCTGACTTTCTCAGAGGTCTAAGGGAAAGGATCTCTAGGAGTGGAGAGTTGGGGAAGAGGAATAAATTCCTATAAGAGAACTGGAGAAGGAGAATTCCAATTCTATATAGGAAGTGGCCCAAGTATCAGGTGGAGCGTGCAGAAAGCACCCGAAGAAGCAAAGGAACTGCTTCAGGGTAAGACCAGATACTAAATGCCCCCCGAGAGGCCTAGGGAGCGAAGAGTCACTGGCAGAGCAGAGTCTCCAAATGATGAGGAAAACAGAACGCTGCCCACATTTCAAACGGGCCAACAACAGAGAGCAGAAGCTACCAAGGGGTACCTGAGTCTGGGCACCACGACATAAGCACGGAGGGTGTTCAGGATGTCCTTGAGATGGTCCTAGGATGGAGGGCGTTCAGGATGTCCTTTGTAATTGGTAATCTAGGAACATCCTCCAAATCTGCTCATGTCCTGGAGGGAGAGGTCCAGGCCCTGCTTTGCAAGATAATGTGCATAATACAGAATTCTTGCTTCTGTATTATGCCAGCTGCCTGCCAATACCTCACCCTCATCAGATATTCTGTAAAATAAAGCTCCTGTCTTTGTTCTGAGCCCACTTCTGCAGCATGAGCTCAGCTGGGTCCACTAGCATAAAATATGGGTCTCCACCCCTCTCAAGGTGGACTGCTCTGTTTTATGTTGGTTTTGGGTGGGAATTTCTGCAACACAAACACTGAAATGACATCAGAGCACAAAAAGCAAACATAAGCTGTGATCTGATCTCAATCAAACTAATTCTAGGCTCAACATTTTTCAGAGAATCACTGATAGAACCAGAGTTTTATAGTTTAAGCCTTTAAAGGTCCAGAATAGAATCTAAGCTTATTCTTTGTATTGAGTTAAGAGTAAAGAGTTAAGAAATAGCATCAATTCTGAAGAGAAAGAAACACATAAGGAAGCGGAAAGAGAATAAGCAGAGATTTAAACCAGCAGTATAACTGCCACAAAAAATAAAGGTGAAAAGTTTTGAAAAGAGTAAAATGAGAGACAGTCTCAGCAGAAAAAAAAAATAGAAACTTTTATAACAATGTAAATTTCCAAACTGAAAAACCCAATATCTAAAAATTTTAGGATGCCAGGGCAATAGTGCAATGGGTAGGGTATTTGCCTTGCACGTGACCATATCCACACGATAACCAAACTCATTGAGGTTTCTCGGGAGTTCAAGATGCCGCTCTGCTTAACGTTCATTGATTTAAAGAAGGCCTTTGATTCTGTTGAGACGGAAGCGGTCATTGAAGCCCTAGCCAATCAGGGCATTCAAGCCCAATACATCAGGATCCTCCGTGAGCTGTATTGCGGATTCACTACCAGGATCTCACCATTCTACAAAGAAGTGATCGTTGATGTCAAGAGAGGGGTGCGGCAGGGTGATACCATTTCACCGAAACTCTTCAGTGCCACCCTCGAGAACATCATGCGACGACTGGAATGGGAAGGAATGGGAGTGAAGATAGATGGTCGGCAACTACACCACCTCCGCTTTGCTGATGACATTGTTTTAATAACACCAAACATCAGCCAAGCGGCACAAATGCTGGCCGACTTTGACCGTGAGTGTGGAAAGGTAGGACTACAGCTGAATCTTACGAAGACAATGTTTATGAGAAACAGCCTTGTTCCTGACGCCCCATTCGCTCTCAATGGAACGACCATCTCCGAATGCAACAGCTATGTGTACCTAGGTCGAGAGGTCAACATGAGAAATGACCTGGCACCCGAGCTGCGCAGGAGGAAGAGAGCGGCTTGGAACGCCTTCAAGAACGTCGAAGAAATAGCTAAGAGGACGAAGAACCTCCGGCTCCGGGCACATCTCTTTGATTCCACTGTTCTTCCTGCATTAACATACGCCTCAGAGACCTGGGCCCTACGCAAACAAGATGAGAACGCCATTCAGGTCTCCCAAAGAAGAATAGAAAGAGCTATGCTTGGAATATCACGTTTCACTCAAATGAGAGAACGAATCCGGAGTTCTGACATCCGTCGACGATCAAGGATCAGGGACGCTGTCTCATTTGCCAAGGTGTCGAAAATCAGATGGGCTGGTCACGTAATGAGATTTAAAGACGACCGTTGGACTAGAGCTGTTACTGATTGGATTCCACGGGATGTCAAGAGACCGCGTGGCCGCCCACCTACCAGATGGTCAGACTTCTTTGTCAAGGTCATGAACGATCGGTTTGAGGCCCTCCATGTTCCCGGAGCGAAGAGATGCCATTGGGCTACACTAGCACGTGACAGGGACAAATGGAGACGTTACTGGCGCCCGCTCGAGCAAATCGACGACTAACGGGAAGTTAAGTGATTATTAAGTGATTAAGTGGCCAACCCAGGTTCCATCCCCCAGAACCTCCAAAAGTGATTCATGAGTGTAGAGCCAGGAGTAAGGAAACCCTAAACATCACTGGTATGGCCCAAAACCCCCTCAAAAAAACTTTAAATAACTGTGTGTGTCAGCGAGAAAAACGTCAATGAAAATAAATCACTGGGGATTCAACCTACTTAAAAGATTCTTAAAAGAATAAGCGAGGGTGGACGAGATGGTACAGGAAAGAAGATGCTTGTCTTATATTTGGCTGACTCTGGTTCTGTCCCCCACTACCACAAATGAGCACTACCAGGGATTACTCCGGAGTATCAAGCCAGAAGTAACCCCCAAGCACTATTGAGTGTGGCCCAAAAAAAAGGGAAAAATACACAGGACAAAGATTTTCAGGGGACTATGTGATAGTATGACAGTATCCAAAGATCTAGCACTGAAGTCACGAGAGTTCACAAAGGATAAAAAATAAGAGACTGGAGTAGGGGGGAAAAAAATCTGAAAAATGAAGGCCTGAAAATGTCCCAACTTTGGTGAACTTAATTTGCATATTCAAGAGGCTTGATGAATCCCTTATAAGCAGGATAAATGAGGGAAGGGGAAAATGGATATGTTGTATTCATGTCTGAATACAACATATACAAACATTAAGGTCTTTTTTTCTTTTTTGGCTGGTTTCTGGGCCACACCAATAGTCCTTAGGGCTTATTCCTGGCTCTGTACTCA